AATGCTTAGAGGAAAATAATTAAGTTTTAAAACACGGAAATTGACTCCCACAGCCTTAGATTGAAAATTATGAGGATGCATATAGCACAGGGTTTTGTTTTCTAAGTCTTTAGGGATTCAATTCTCTGATCACCCCATGTTTCAGATGACTGCCGCATCAATTTTGAACCTGCATTGCTTCACCTTTCCGTGTAAAACCCTGCAGTTATTTTCTTGCTGTTTCTTAGGCATCTGTTTGGTCTTCTTAGCTAAACTCCTTGAGGCCCAGGCAAATACGGTGTCTTTTGTCAGACCTTGACTGTAAGATTTTCAGCAAATGCTGGTTAAGTGTGTCCTGCCTGTTATCACTGGTCTTATTATTCCCAGTGGGAGTCTCATCATCTTGCAGTTTATTACCACGGGGAATCACTGTTTACCTTGCTCTGCTCAGAGGTGCTGCACACTTCAATAATCTACTGCTCAGCCAAAGAATATACTTGAGATCGAGACTCTTGTATTTATTTTAGTGCCCCAGATGGCACCTGCCTTCCTTGCACACCTATGTGTCACGGGCTTATATGAGCCAGGCACTGTGCCAGGAGCAGGGAAACAGAAAGGCACCAAATCCTGTCCTCAGGGAGGAGTCCGTGTTCAGCAGCTACATTCTGGCATCTGATTATTGCTCAACGGACATTTGGGAAAAGAAATAAATAAAGAGTAGGTGTGTTAGCCCTGTGCTCTGAGAAGAAGGTATCAAGATGAGATTAAACCTGCAAGGATTTTTTTAAGGGAATGCCTGTGTGGAGAGGAACAGAGCCTGTCCAATTATGGTGTGGCTTATGTGACAGAATTCAGCCTAGAAAGAGTGGCTCTTGATGCATGAGAACTTGATGTGCTGTGATCGAGAATTTCATTACTGCCAGGGTCTAGTAAAAGGCCTTTGTTTCTCGGAGGGTGTATAATCCTCTGTTGCTGATGGCATGGCCTGGCTTCAGGCTCTCAGGGGACTGTGTCATGGTTTTGTCCCTGGAACTTGCCATAGATTCCATACTACATCATTACACCACACTGATACCTCCAACGCCATAGGTCTACTAAACAGCAGAAATGTTCCGAGGAGCAGGACTTAACAGTATACAGTCTGGATCCACTACAGTTCCCTGTCCTGGCCTGACTCGCAGCTGGCAGCCCTCCATGTCACCTGGAATATTAATGTGAAAAAAGGTCGCCTCAAGCACCCAGAGTGGCTGCCAAGCAATGCACCGCTCTCTCTGAAGCTGGCAAATGCAAGATCCAGCAAGGATCCAGCAAGGATTGGAGGGAATATTCTAGTATGCCCCTGACCACTAGCCCCCTAAGACCTTCAGTGAATTGACTAGTTACTGAAGCTTTGTAGGATTTATATCCAACCCTCCAGAGCTCGTGTGTCTTAGAAAAATTTCCAGGATACCAGATACCTCTCGTTTGTCCTGTTTAATCAGCATGATGTTGTCAATGTAATGAATTGTGTGTTTTTCCATGGGAAGTCCAGATGGTCTAGATCTCAGTGTACTGTATAATGGCAGAGAGCAAGTTGACATAACCTAGAGGCAAAAATTTGAAGAATACTTTAGTCTGCCCATGCGGATGGAAACTTTGCAATCCTTTTTTCTCATTGGAATGAAATAGCATGACTTCATGCTAGGCATCTGAAAACCTCTTAATTCATTCTAGCAATGACACCACATCCAGCACAGTGGTTGTGATTGGGGCTGCTACCTGGCCACACCTACAGTACGGTGGATCACTCTCACATGGCAGGGACAACCATCCTTAAGTCTTGTTTGTCTTTAATGTTGGCAGCGATCTCCACTTTCTCCCCAGGGAGAGGATATCCGTTCTGATACACCATTTGAGAGGAAGGGTGAGTGGGGAGGGCAGTTTCAGAAGTTTCCAGTTGGCCTTCACCAGTATGTTAGCTCTTATCCTACAAACCAAGGTCCCTACGTGGGAGCTATTCTGACTACCAGTTACGTATCCAGTGACTGGGAAACTGATCACTCAATGTGTCTGGGACAGGTGGGCCACAGGGAGTCAGACTTTAACCAAAACCTATTTATTTCTTGGCCTCTACAGCTTCCCACTCTGACAAGGGGACTACAATGAGGCTTTGAGTCTTTAGGTAACACTGTCAACCCAGATCCTGTGTCCAGTGGTACTCAAAATGCCTGGTTATGTCCCTCTCCGCAAACTATAGTCACCCAAGTAAATGGCCACAGGTACTTTTGGGAGGACTGGGTGAATCACCACAGTGTATGTTTTTCAGGATGTTTTAGGGTCTGTCTTCCTAGGCAACCAGCCATGCCTTTAACCAGTGGGTTCTGGATCTGAAAATTGGCTCAGATCTTCAAATTAAGCCAGGGACAGTGACTTATTCTTGGGGTGACCACCTCAGTCTCCTGCTTCCCCATTCTTGATTTATTTTTGTATTACACATTTTAAGCAGCAATTGAACCCTTGTTGATTGACCATCTGTTCTGCTTCTAAGGATACTGTGCTCTCTTATGTCAAGCCCTTTGGCTTCTCCTCCTACCTTGCCTATATTAGGATCATTGTGGACTCCTGGCTTCTGGTGATTAATCACTGTCATTTGGCCTCTATTACTTTGGGGCCATTCATCCCAGCGGATGTTAATGAGCTCAGTAGTGCCAAAGCCTTTCCCTACTCATGCCTGGCTTACAGGGAATAGCTACCACTGAACTTGGAGATGTTGGTGACACTCTCCTCAACATATTTCTGATGGCTTTGAAAATGCCATAGCCTCTGGCCCTGTCGTGGAGCACACCCCTCTGGTGGACATGCCAGCCTCACCTGATATACCAGCCTTGACCTAATAAGCAAGCATGGCCGGTTACTTCCCTCGGCCTTTGTATTCCTTCTTTCATGCTCTGCTAGGGAGACTCAGGCATCTCATCACTCATAGTTGGCCATTGTCTAGTCCACATTTCTAAGAGCCATCCTGCAGTGAGTTCAGTCCATTGCCTGGGGTCCTTGAGAGGGTGTTAGAAAGCATTTCAATTTTTCTATTGATAAATCTAAACTACTTCAGTAGAGTCTCTTTTGGTGGAATCAAATGACAATTATATAATTTAGAGCTAAAAATCCTATTATCTATTTATTTAATAATATTTATTTATTTAATATAAATATTACTTATTTAATTTTTACATTATTATATATATAAATAGGACTTCCAATATAATGATGAATAATATTATTCATAAGGGCATTACTGTTATATTCTTATTTTAACAGAGGTAGTATTAGCATTTCCCAATTTAATATATCTGCACTTTATTTTTATTTAAAAATATACTTTTCATCTTAAGTAGTGTTTTTCTCTTCCTACTTTATGTAGAGTTTTAATTAGAAATGTTTGTCAAATTTCACCAATATCTTCTCAGTATCTATTGATACAATCATCTGTTTCTTCTTTGTCACTCTGATGTTATGAATTATTCTGATATTCTACATAGTGGCGAACCATCTACAGTTTTGTGCTTGGTCATTGCTTGCTTTATTTGAAAATATACTTTCAGATTCCCTTTGCTATTATTTTATTATTGCTTTGCTCTGTATTTATTAAGACTTTTGTGCAATATCTATCAGACTTTGGTATTAAGGTTATGTAGGGTTCCTAACATAAAGGAAGGCATTTTCTATATTTTTCTATATTCTGGACTAGTTAAACAACTTGGGGAATATTTTTTTTGTAATTTAAATATAATTTAGCTTTAAGACATTGTTTATGTTTATTTTTCAATCCTTTTCATGGTTATTATTCTTACAACTTCTTCTTTTTATTGCATCAATTTTGGTTTACTCCACCAAGAAACATCTATTTTATTTTAAATGTACTCCACAGATCCTCACAAAATAGCCTCCAGATTTATAAGATTTTTTCTAGCAAACGCATATTGATGATAGATTTTTTAAGTGTTCCAAGAACAAAAGCAAATTTTCTTTCTAGAATATAAATATCTATGTATATCTATTAAAATAAAATTACTGAGCATATTATCCATTTAGCTCTTTTTGTCAACTTGATCCATCAAATTCTGAGTTATTATATTATCAACCACTATAAATTAAATTTTTTCTACAATCTTCTCTGTGTTCTGAGGTGTTTATAGATTTGTCTGGTACATTGTTTGGTGCATAAAGTTTTATGACTATAGATTATTCTCAGCTTTCACCTTTTATCATTTTATAGTAAAACTCTTTATCCTGTTCAATATATTGTCGTTGAATTCTGTTTTGTCTTATAGTAATAGTTTCCCTTTTGCCTTCCTTTTGTTTACATTTGCCTGGAATATCTGCTCATATCTTTGTATTCAGACTTGCTTTCCCATCAGCTCTGCTTTAGTGGAAGTCCACAGTCTAAATGTCATGCCTAATTTTCCCTTCTCAGCTTATTGAGTGCTTAGATGAGTTGTTATTTTTCATTTTCATTCAAATAGATTAAAAAATAAAACCCCAACAAAATTCAGGTTTATATTGCTCACAAGAAATAAATTTTAAGAGAGAACATAAAAAGGCCATGAGCTCCTTAGCACCTACCCACAGTAGACAGTAGGGTCTCTCAAACTTGGGTCAATCAGTGAGAAATGGAAGACAGCTAAGCTAAAAAGCCATCCCCCTTTTCTGAGGATGAAAATGAAGCCCGTCTATAGACAAAGCTCCCTGACTAGCATAGGATTGAAGAATTATGTAGATTTTTCTACAGATTTTATATAGTTATTTCCTCTCTTACAAACCCTAGTTGGAGAAACATATTCCTTCTTTTTAAGCCTACCTAGTTCTACAGCTGGGTCCCAGCTGAGTTTTCTAATCCCTGGAGAAGCATCGTTCACCTTAGTATAAAAGCAGCCCTATAATTTTCAGAGAAAGATTCTCCTAGACGTGATATTAGACGTGATATACTCTCAAATTTATTGTTTACTGGCTTTTTTTTTGGTCCTTTTTGGGCAAAATCTCTCGGTAGAAAATTATTCAACCTTGGAATTAAATCAATAACCATTTGAAGCAAAATTTCCAAGGAACTTTGAAGTTGTCCTTTATTATCATAATTTTTTTTCTGGTAAGGGGGAAGCATAATGCAGAGAGCAAACACTCCTGATGCATCTTCCTTGTGGAGGGAACGTGATAGTAGCAAACTGTGTGGTCAATCTTGACTCCCTCGTTCCTTTCTTGGAGAAGAGATGACTTTGAGAGAGGACACGGGCATGTCTAGCCCAGCTGCTTCTGCCTCTTTCCCCTAGAAGACAACAGAAATAAAATAGTGCGCATTCTGCCTTCGCCCTTTGTGCTTTATATTCTAGAGAGTTAGGCCTGTCTCTGCAAGACGTGGGGGCAGGGGATATGGAGGTAATTGCATTTCAGGAAAATGAAAGATCTAGTGCATTGGCTTGAAAACAGAGTTGACAAGGAAGTGGAATCTGGAGAACATAAGATTCTAGTTGAAACTTAGTGGTTTTCAGCAGTGTAGATTATTCTAGGCAGGATGGTTTTGAAGTTGACTACTAACTCTATACCCAAGAATATTTCAAATGCTAGGTGACCTGTGATATTTATATGGGAAACCATCTGGCTTAGGGTATTGTAATTTAGTACTAACTCCTCGTCCTAGAAATATCACTAAGTCCTAGCTGTTCTGCGATTTTTTTCAGTGTTAAGTTGAGCTGGTCTCCTGGCTAGTGGCTGGTTTGAATGAACTAGCTAGCCTTATGCAAGCACTCTGGCCTTTGCAAATTCTGGGAGATCTTAAGGGTCTCAGCAAGAAAAATTCAGCCACAGCAGGGCCTCATTAGCCTTACAACAGCATATCAATCAGAATTAGCAAAAGCTTAGTCTTTAGGTGATGCAGTTTCTAAAGATGAAGCTTCTGCAGCTTTCCCTTTGCCTCTGTTGCCTAACATTGGCTGAGTTTGGAATGGGACAGGGATTGAATTATGGAAAATGAGTACTTTTTTTTTTTTTCTTGCATTCATCTTAGAAATTAGGAGACAGAACACACTTCTTCTGTTTCTTTCCCTAAATTTATCAGCCTCCTATTCAGGCTAATCTCCAGAGTAGAAACTAAAATATATTTCTCCCAGTAAGAACTAATCTGAACATTTATGTGCTGCCCCCATTTATGTTATTTTTTATGTTGTTTAAATTGTATTCACTTCCAAAGGAGAAACCTGAGGACTGGCTAAATTCTTGAGCTCAGGTTACTTCTATAAGCAATTAAGCATTGCTTTCCCTACGTGTTTCCAACTCGGCTCAGTATACTTAAATTATATATGTTTTAATTATGGATTTTAGTTGATTCACTCAAAACACAAGAGTAGATTTTATAAATCAACAAAAAGTAAAGGGAGCCTACATCAGAAATAGAATATATCATCTTCTCTACTTGGAGCGTGAAAACCAACTCAGTTAAATTATTGCAGACACAAAGACTAAAAAGGCAATTGAAAAAGCTTATTCTGAAAACACTATCTGAGAAGTCAAGCTTGCATATAAAATTTTAAAAGTGGGTGGTATTATGAAAGGTGGGGAAGTATAGACCAGCTTTGCTTTCCTACCAGGAGTGGTAGAAGGATGAAAACCAAATAAAAAAAAGACAGAATTATTAAGCTCAGGGTAAAGAGAAAGATTTCCCCAGGAGAAAGGTTCACATATTAGGAGAAAAACTAGATAGATGTGAAAATAAATGTATATTTTACAGGCACAAATACACAAATAGAAAGAGAAAAAAATATACTCACTTCTAGCTTCTCTTAAAATATGGTATATATGGAGATTAGGGGAGTTTATTTGCTATTAAATCAGTAAAAGTGATAGGGAACTAGAATAAAACAACAGAAGAGAAGCCAAATCTGAAATAATCTCCAAGAGTGTACCGCAATCCAAGAAAGTATTCATGGGTAGCTTCTTACAAACATGAAAAGAGTGATAGCAGTTGAAGAACTACCCTGTACAAGTTGGGAAGGCTCTACAAAGTGGTTGCAGAAAATCTGGCAAGATTGTAAATGGTAAGATCAAGGAGATGAGTGGAGAAAAACAGGGGAAAAAAATTATTATTTGAATTTCTAGAGATAGAACCATAGTCAAATGAGGATATAGATATTTACTGTGCCTTAGAAATTTCTGGAATTAAGACCTTAAGGCATGCCATAGGAAAGATAAGACATAGGACAGAAAAGTCGGGAGGAAAGCAGCAGATTATGTCCAGCCCTGGGTTGAATGTTTCTGATGAAAGAATATTTCCTGTGTGGGATTATCCAATTCAGAAAGAAGAGGCGGGTACAGTGGCATACACCTATAGGCCCAGTTATTCAGAGGCTGAGGCGGGAGGATCACTTGAGGCCAGGAGATCTAGGCTGTAGTGCACTATCACCAAGCTTGTGAATAGGCACTGTGCTCCATCCTGGGAAACACATCAAGACCCCCATCTCTAAAAACAACAATAATAAAAATATGTTTAAAGGAGCACAAGATTTTACTAAACCATGAATGATTCTATGAGACCACAAACTTCTTAATATCCCTTTTATCATTAAAAAAGAATACAAAAAATTTAGAGAGCCTTATTAGAAAATCACAAATATGAGCCATAAAGCAAAAAAAAAAAAAAGAAGAAGAAACAAGGCACATAATGTCAATGCTATGCTTTGAATACATTCCCTCCAAAATTCAGGTGTTGCCAATGTGACAGTATTAACAAGTAGGGCTTTTAAGAGGAGATTACGTCACGATGGCTCTTCCCATGTGACTATGTCAGATGCCATTATAAAAGGGCTTGCTGGAAGACATTAGTCTTGCTTGCCCTTCCACCTTCTACTACAATCTGCCAAGAAGGCCTTCAGCAGGTGGCAGCAACTCGGTCTTGAAATTCCCAAACTTCAGAACTCTGAGAAAGAAATTTCTGCTATGTATAAATTATCCGATCTCAGGTGTTCTGTAATAGCAACAGGAATGGATTAAGATAGCCAATACTCTACACTGGCTCAACATGTAATAGTGGGAAAAGAGAGAGCAAGATCAATTTAAGTAGCAGGTTAAATCATCAGAAAGGAAGTTTTCTTGAAAGTAGTACAGAAATATAGTAGAGATAATGGAACATCATATCCCACCACTTCATGAAGAGAAATAGAAGGAAATGCTACCTAGTACCTAGTGTGTTCAAAATTTGCAGAAAGCCGGTGTCGTGAGGAACAAACTCCAGTGGTGTGGGTCTTCACTAGTTTCTAAGAGCATCAGCAGCCTCAGTTAATGAACTTGGAAAGGATGGTTCTCCAGCTGAAACTCATGAGTGAGCCTACTTCATTACAAACAATGTTCTCAATCCTGATAGCACACCAAAATCACCTAGAGAGCTTTTTGATGCCACTGCAATCACACACATACCCCCAGAGATTCCAATGTAATTAATTTGGGGAACAGTCTAGCCATCAGTATTAAAAGCTCCCCAGGTGATTTTAGTGGGCAGCCATGGTTAAGAACTACTGTTTTATAGGCCCAAGCAAGTGATGCTCTACACTGGAGGTATATTCGAATCCCATAGAAAGCTTTCAAAATATATCTAAGCTTGGACCTAAAGCCAGAGGAGGGGTTGATCTGGACACCAGGATTTCTGCACAGCTCCCCCAGTGATTCTAAATTGCAGCCAGACTTGCTCGAGAAATCCACAGAGAGAGGCATTGGCAGCAATGATTGTTCACAGGCTAAAAAAAATACCTGCTCCTGCTCACAAAACATTATGAAGAATTACCCATGCTCAGCTCAGTACGGAGTTGCTAGAAACACGAGGCTCAAATGGGAAATGAAAATACAAAGGTTTTAAATATGGAAGAAAGACACTTCAATTAAGATCTAGATGACTGAAGATGCCAAGATTGGAAAGTTTCAAGCTGTGAAAAAATTCTGCAACATCCCAAATGCCATTCTTTGAGAGAAGAGATAGTTTATATATTTTCCCTGAATATAGTAAGTCAGTCTTTGACCCAGAAGCTATTGTAAAGGGTATATTTTTATTTGTTTTCTGATTGTTCATTGCCATTATGTAGAAATACACCTAAGTTTTGTATAATGACCTTGAATTCAGTGAGCATTCTAAATATATCTATTTTAATGGTTGATTCTAAGTTCGAATTCATATTATCTGTGAAAAAATGACACTTTATTTCTTTTCCATCCATTTATTTCTTTTGCTTTATTTGTACTTGAGACCTCTAGCAAAAATATTGATTAGAAGTGGTGATAATGGACATTTTTTCCTGAGTTCTAATTTCAAAGTAAAAATTATCTCACCTTTAATCGTGATGTATGCTGCAGAGATTTTTGTTTAATTATTTGGAGATAATATAGTTTATCAGACTAGATGTATGAGTTTTCCATTGCTGCATAACCAATTACCACAAATTTAGTAGCTCAAAACATCCCTGTTTATTAGCTCACAGTTCTATAGATCAGAAGTTGAGGCTTCTGCTGGCTTCTCTGCTTTAAGTCTAGAAACTCAAAAATCAAGATGTTGGCCAGGCCTGATACTTTTCAGATTGTTAGCAGAATTCAATGTGATCGAAGGACTGAGGTCCCCTTTGCCTTGCTCTATGTCAGCCAAAGCTCCTAGCAATGGTGACTTTGAGCCTCCCTGACTTCCCATTTTTGCTACCAGGTATAGAAAGCTGTTTTTAAAGGGATTTTTGTCATTCAATTAGGTTAAACCCCTCCTATTTGCCATATAATGTAACAGAATCCCTGGAATAACATCTGATCAAATTCACAGGTTCCACCCACCTTCAAAAAGCAGAGGATTATACACAAGAGCCAGAGTCATTTAGGGCTTTTCTTAAAATTCTGCCTATGACACAGTGGGAGTTTCCCTTATGTTTCTACTTTGCCTTAGCTTTTATCATTAATCCTTTCTGGCAAATGATTTTGTGAATCTTTTGTGATAAGTATGTGCATTTTCAATTTATTGTGGTGAATTACATTGAATTTGAAAACCATTTCAAATTCTAATTCTCACCTTCCTCTAATGAACATAATTTGGTCAGATACTTTATATAAATAGATGTGTGTATGCACAATTATATTTGTATATCTAATATACATATATGCAAATATAATGGATTTAACTTCTTGATATAAGATGTATTACTTCATATGTTTCATCTGTTTTTGTGTCACCTTTTGTTATTTATGTTTTTGTAGGGATTTGTCCATGTTATCTAAATTTTCTAATTTTTTGGCATAAGTTAGTTTTTA